CTTGTTGTTGGTTGTTTTTTGTTTTTTTTCCGTTTTTCTGTTGAACCACAATTCAGAAACGATCATGATTTTCATTAAATTTTATTCATTATTACTTTTGTCAATTTCAACTTATTTCAGTGACAGCTGTTGAATAAATTTGAGGACGACTGTATGTGTTGTGAGTGCATTGCAGAGATGTGGCTCATTTGTATCATGACTGTTGAGTCATTATTATTAATATTATTAAGGTATATCAGTTCATTTTATCCCTGTACTTACACTACAAAATCAGATTTCACTTTATCTGGTTCCTCTCAGAAGCTGTAGTAATATATACTTCTTTTTTTTAACCCGGTATCATCATAACAAGTAGAAATCCTCTTCTTTATCTCTCTTGTGCATCAAAGATTAGCGATCCATCGTAATGATGTGGTCAGTGTTCCTCTGGTCATTAGCCTCCAGACGTGTCTATTTGCAAGTGATATCTTCTGTCTAAACAGTGAAAGACTCAAAGAGGGAAACATAAACCCAACCCTGATGTCGGGAACAGCATCGATAATTGAGCTTGTTCAAGATTGGTCGACATGACCCGGAATCAGCAGCGCTCATTACACTGTCTCAGAAACAATCCACAGCAGATCACACATCTAAAATACACACAGATATATCGATGTTTGTTCTAAACACTGACCATCCCTCTTGACTTAGGTTATTGTAAAAGGAAACTGTCTTTTTTTTTATCTAGGGCCCAGCAATAATCTCCTGTTGAGTGTGTAGGTGTACTATTCTATATATATATGAAGTCTACTTTACTATAATTAGTTATCATGGGTTATTTATTGGACTCCTACTAGGAAAAGACAGAAATACTTTGTGTGTCATCTTTGTCATTTTGTCCTGTTTCACCCTTGACGAAGCGCAAAATCTCTGCACCATTTGTACCTCTGAGACCAAGTTTGCTTGATATGCTTACAGTATCCTAAAACAGACTGCAGCTGGAAAGAGGGAATCATTGCGGCAGCAGATATTTAATGTAGATACTTAAATTGTATTTGCATTGCTCTTGGTAAAAAGATGGAAAAAGAGGAAATGTTGCAAAAACAGAGACCTGAGTGAATACTGCCGGTAAACATGTTGATTTCATCAATACTATTAAGTGTCTGTCTCTCATCTTACATATTATATACGATATAGAATGGATTCCTTATAATACCAGAATTTCTGTGTTTGTTGACACCACCTTGCCTCCATTTGTCACACTGGTAACAAGCGATGACAGATGTTTGCTGTGTGGATTTTCCAAATGTTGTCAGAATGGGGCAATTGCAGAGCAATTTTGGTCATGCAAGAATAGGGTTTAAAAGGTGCCATTATCGCATCCAATAAACAACAGCAATTATGTATAATTTCATGTCTTGTCACTGGTGTTGAGACTGAAAAGAAATGGAATTTTCCTGTTTCGAGATGCCCTGCTGTACATGTGATTTTGACTCTATCTGCATTGTATTCAAGAAAATACACACAACAACCAGTAGGTAGTTTTTGCTGAGACCTCTTTGGCTCCTCAGTACTGAGAATTCAACACGAGGTGAGTGATAGTGTGCTGATGTAATTCTTAAACAACAGTAACTGCAGCGGGTTCCAATTCATAGCCTTTCTGCAAACATGGTGACTGTAGTAGTCAAACATGACTTCTCAGCTTCAACAAGGGCAAACGCAGTGTTGTGGATTTGCAATGAACAGCTTTTTCACTGCAGAAAACTACTTTGTATTTGTGTATATGTTACTTGTTGTACACTCCCCTCTGCTGGCACAACAGAGGCACTGCATATCACTACATGTGCAGGGGCATAAAAACAGCTGACATGTTAACACAGGGCTGCAGGGTGGCTCAGTTGGTAGCACTGTTGCCTCGCAGCAAAAAGGTTGCCGGTTCGTGTCCCGGTGGGGCCACTGGGATCTTTCTGCGTGGAGTGGGTTCTCTCCAGGTTCTCCGGTGTCCTTCCACACAGTCCAAAAACATGTTGAGGTTAATTGGTGATTCTAAATTGTCCGTAGGTGTGAATGTGAATGTGAGTGTGCTTGGTGGTCTGTATCTAAGTGTGGCCCCTCAAGTCAGTTGGGTTAGGGTTAGGGTTAGGGTTCACCCCCCTGCGACCCCAGTGAGGATTAAGCGGTGTATAGATAATGGATGGATGTTGCTAACATACCTCCCTAGCTCAACAAGAGTGCAGATCGTTTGTTTGTTTGTGTCAGAAAGAGAGACTTTTTCAAGAGGAGGATCAGGACAATGATGAAAGGAAGTGAACTGTGGACAAATTGTAAAACAGCTTGACATCCTTTGTTCTCAGCATTGTTTAAAGCCTGCTATATACAAAAAAAATAACACTTTAAAAACAGTTTACACTTTAAGTGCATCGAAACATGCTGTGACCTGACATAACTAAGTTTGTTCCACTTGCCGTAGTTTGATATTCACGCGGCCATCCTTGTAGATTTATTGACGAAACTTGTGCAGTATCATTTAAATAACAAATAATTCAAAATTGTAGAAATCACCACACAATAATTTTATTGTTTCTAACTTGACAAGTAGAGTGTTTCCTCTAATGAACAATCAAAAATAATACAGAAAAAAGGCCACTGCAGATACACCCCCTTGAATCAGTGCAACAAAAGTGAAACACAAGTTAGTAAACCTGTGATCACTGGAACTAAATTGAGCCCACCTGTGCAGCTGAACATAGTTACAAACAGTGAACACCAGAACTTTTTCAACTTTGGACCTTTGTGCTGTGTCTTTGTGTATATATGCAACATGGTTCTACACAAAAGAATGACTAAAAATGTCTTCTGGCTCGATCATGATACTTCAAAAAAAAAAAAGAAAAACGGCTACAGAAAAATCAGTGACAAAGTAAAAATCAGTCAAAACAGAATGGGAGCAGTAATCAGCAGATAGAGTGAACCACATGACCACTAATCAGAGCCGCAATGGTCGTCTTCCTAAAATGATGCCACAGATAGTGTGCTTTTGGTGTAATTTAGCTCTGAACAGACAAACAAGGCAGGGAAATACTTCAGGCTTGTCGTTGATGGAAATTGCAGTTTCTCAGACAGCTCAGGCAGTGTGAAGGCCTGTGCATGCTGCCAGTGTCTATGAATGAAAAAAAAAAAAAAAAACTTCTTGCTTTGGCACAAAACTGCAAAATGAAACTTTGTTAAAGAACATTAGGAGAAGCCCAATGAAAATTGGAAAAACATTCTTTGGGGTCAAGTTTGTCGGTCATTTTTAGTTTGAACTTGGTCAGGAGCACTCCCACAGTGAATGCATGGTCCTGACAGTGAAGCATGGAGGTGTGACAACATCGCGCTGTAAAATGTGTTGCATATTTTAGATTAGATATTTTAGATGGCACCCTAAATAACTGTGGATATTCCAAAAACAAGACTCCCAGCCTGCAGAAGCTTGAAGGAGAATAACCCAGCATGATGAAGATTCATAGCACACTACCAAAATTACACAAGAGAAAAAAGCAGCATAAGAACTATGACCTGAACAAGTCCGTCTTCTGATTTGAATCCACTGTCACCATCTAGTGGCCTCAGCAGGGAACACACAGAGTAAACTGTGGATTGTAGCATTCCTGTGTTAGCAATTCTCTTGCTGCTGCCAGAGTAGATGTATTAACAAGAAAAAAAACAACTCCATATATACCTTGTACACATTGTATTTTTTATTGCTGTTTATTTTCTGTCTCATAATGAAGCCTATCTGGGCCTGCTGGCCCTGACTGACCTTATGAGCATCCCCACTCACCACACCCAAGAGGAGCAATCATTTTGCCACTGATTGCTGCTGCTGCTGCTGTTTGAGGAGGCCATGACAACAAGGAGGTGAAGGAGGAGGGAAAGAAGTTACAAGAGGTTTTTGGTGATGATTAGCCTTCTATGAGGCCTCAACGCAGCAGCTGAAAAACCTAAAAATGCAACTTAGCTTACACAAACAAACAAGCAAATAAGTAAATGCAAATATTTAAATGTACACTAAGAGGTTTGGATTCAAATATCAAATAAAGTTGGAAGTTTCTGCCCTATAATGAATTCCTTTGCCTTTGGATAGTCCCAGCAGAAAACGTGCCACTTGTCAATAATGAACAGAAGAACAGAGAGTTCAGATCAGGCTGTTGTGGAGCAACACAATTATAGATGACAAAACAAACATGTTTTTTGTCCTACTTTCAGGATGTGAACCTGGCAACCCGCGTTTCCACTTGGTCTCCTGATGCCCAATTAACTTTCTCACATTGCTGTTGGAGTGTTGTGTGGTTTTTCTTTTTCTTTCACATTGCTCTTCATATTGTCCCTACCGATTACAGACCTCTTCATGCATCTTTACGCGCTCTACACATTGAGAATTTTATTTAAAAAAAAAAAAAAAAAAAAAAAAAATCTCATCCTTTAATGATTGACTACCTGGTCATTAACCCGTGGAGGTCCCTCGTAATCGCTGAGAGAAGAGCGGCTTGTTCCCATAGATACATCCCAACAGATGAGCTCCCATGATGCCCAGCAGGCAGTAGGGAAACTGCTCACACCATTTGGCGTTTTAACCATCACCTGCAGCGGAGCGGTGCGCAAACACGCATGTGCTGCAACGTTTTCCTCTGCAGCGAATAGGGATTCTGCAAAACTTAGAGAGAGCTTACATTTCCAACTCTGGGACACAAGTTTCATGCATGTGTTGACATCTGCGATCCTTCCTCGTGGGTTGCTTTTTGACCTGAACGCGCAAACGAAGACCTGCGTGCCGCGTTTTGTTGCTCCACTCCACTGATCCACTCAAGTCTGAACATTCCGCCGGGATGGAGCAGCTCTAATGACATTACAATGGCCTGTAGGCTGTTGTCTCGCAAGTGGGATCAACCTGTTGTGAGCTGATTGTCCCAAATATTTGTCTTTGTTGCTCGCCAGTGTGCTTTTTTTTTTTCTTTTCTTTTCTTTTTTTACGCACGAAGATGAGCTCGGAGAAGCCAAACTTTCTCTCGCAGCCGGTGGTGAAGAACATTTTCATGTTCCGGAACGGTGATCCCTACTACGAGGCTCGCCGGATAGTGATCAATGAAAAGAGGGTGTGCAACTTTGAGACTTTGCTCAGGGAGGTAACCGGCGGGATACAAGCCCCGTTTGGAGCGGTGAGAAACATCTACACGCCGAGAGGAGGTCACAAGGTGGACTGCTTGGAGAGCCTGCAGAGCGGGGAGCAGTACGTGGCTGCTGGGAGGGAAAGATTCAAAAAGCTGGAGTAAGAAAAAAAAAATCATGCTTTGCCAAATATTTTTTTTGCCTAAAAAGTATATATAAAGTAACTCACGCATGCGTAAATACTGCCCAGCAATAAGCAATCTCCTACTGTGAATTGAGAGTAATTTAACTGACTCAAAGTTTATGTGACTCAACGATTTTGCTCTGATGCTGAGTCAGTGCAAATGAGATCAGTAGTACTGTAGAGAAGTGTGCTCTGCCCTGACCTAAAAACACTTATACAGCAGATAATGAGATTGGTGCAGCAGGTTATACATAGAATGCAGTGGTGAAGCAGTTGCGTGAGAATCTGAATCAGTGAAGTTTGTGTACTGTCTCCCCACTTGTGTATTCTTAGAGTAAATCCACTGTGATTACCCACTGCTGCAGAACTGATATTACTGATTACCCAAGTGCACCAGCTCTAATGCTAGAAATGATAAATGCATGAATAACTCACTAGCTAACTTTGTTCTTATGATGTCTGACAGGTGCCTAAATAAGAGGCAGATATTACGTTTACTTATCATTAAAGAAAACCCAGCATGATGGAAAGCCCCGAAGATAATGTGTTTGGATATTACCACCCCTAACTGGGGGAAATTCAGTCAGTTTGCTTTCATTTGTGAGCTGCAAAACTCATGCGCATGATTAACTTACTTCACTTTGTGCTTTGTTTGTAGTTATTTACAGATTGGTTACAGAAAGAAAAGGATGATGCAGACTCTTCCGATGCAGGTGAGGCAAAAATGCTGCAAATCTAAGCAGGAGACAATGAGTCAGGTTGGAAATGTAGGTTTCTCTTGCAATTCCACATAATATGTTTATTCCAGAGCAGTAGCTGTGCTTGTGTGGTGCAGATCAGCAAAGAGTGTGTGAATGTGCAAAAAGCTGTTCCTGGAGTTCCCTATTTTTTTTTTACAAATATAGACATTATTTTAAAACACTTACCAGAAATATCACCAGTTTGCATAATTGCTGTTGCAGATCCTTTTATATTTTTAATTTCATATCTTCAGGCTCACTTATTTTGGGAGCATGCCAAACTCACCTTTTTTTTGTACACTGCTTTTATTTGCATGCGCTACTTTAGATTTAGACATTAATGAAACCTTTCACCAGCAATGTTTTTCTAAAAAAAAAAAAAGCAGGCTTTCAACTACAATTCCTTTTGCCCCATCTAAGCTTTCAACATTGGAAACTGCCACTAAATACAAGATACATGAGGATTCGGGAACACCCACAGCGTAAAGATTTTATAATGATCTTTTAAGGAAGGTGTTATGTTTAGCATTCCCCCTCCATTGTTCTCTGCAAAGAATCACTTTGTTGTTGTCTCAATGGCCATGAATTATTGATTTATGGATCATAATCATTCCTCCTTTCAATGCATATTTAATCAGCAGCTATGAAGTCACAGCCAAAGCCAGAGCAGCTTAAAGTCAGGCTCATCTATTTTGAAAGTGGACTGCAGGTCCTCTTTCCACATGAGGAGGACCTGCAGTTTTTTTGTTTAAATAATAAAATCTACTCTAGGGAAAGCACCAGCGTCTAAATCAGCCAAACCGTATCAACTTCTTGCATGTTTTTTTCCACCTTTTTTTTGTGTGTGTTTGACATTTGCCAGTGTTTTCTTGATTTCACCTGCTAGCAAGAACCCCATTCATCACGGGTAACCTTAGAGGCTCGTTGTCGCTGCTGTGATTGCGAGCCTTAAAAAAAGGAGCTAATTTAGTTTACAAGGACCCTGCTTCCCCCCCCCTTCACTGCCCCATTTAACCTGCCTGATTAGGTCAACTAATGAGGACAAGTCTTAGCTGCCTGGTTTCTTGGTGAATTTGTATTTTTTTTTAGCGCTTATTGACATATTTTGGCGCATTACAGAATAAATTAATTAAGTTTTAAAAACCTTGGATGTGCCATTTTGTATCCAACTGTAGATCTGACTTTAGCCCCTGCCATTCAAGAAATGTTGCCCTTCATACCGGGTCTTCTACTGCTCTTATGTTTCCTCTATTTCCACTTGAAATTATCTTTTTTTTTTTGTTGTTGCTCTGTGTGTGATTGGATGCACTTGACTCTACCCATAAGCACTGCTCAGACCTGCTGCTTTGATTAAACGGTAATGTCAGTATATCAATGAGGTGTTTAATCGAGATTTAAAGGAAAAATGTGAAACCTTGTTGTACACAAAAATGTGGCCGCACCTGGCACCTGTAGATGGAATCAAACGAGATAAAGAGAATGAGCTGCATCCAAAGTGCAAGGGGCTTCCCTCAGCTTGTTTGTTGCCAAGCGGAATGTGCACAAGGACGAGCCGAGGGAACTTCTGGTCTGCTGTACAATGAAACATCATGTGCCGATTAAAAATAACTGTCCTAAAGCAAAACAAATGCTGTGCGTCTAATAGCTCCGCAGAGACCGATCCGTGCATCGCCTTGCCGGTTTCTGTTTGTTCCTGGCTCAGATCGGTTACTAGCTCGGTGGGTTATGCCAGTCTCTGTGGAAGGAGTGATTCTTTAACAAGCAACAGATTTCAGGATTTTTATATAAATTCAACACATATATGAATCAAGAGACAAACAGTTAAAACTCAGTATTTTGTGTCACATTTATAAGTGCGCAGGCCTTGTTTCTCGTTACTTTTTTTTACCTCTAAATATGTCTTTGTTTTGTCACAAAGGTTTTGGAATTCTGTATCTGGCCTTCACACTTCAGTTGCCAGGTTGCACTCTCAGAGCCCAGAAGACTTTTAATAAACCTGCTCCCTTATCTCGCTCTCATAGGATCCGAATCTTAGTCATAGAGTCACAGTGGGTTACAGGTGTTGTGGGACAGGACCTGCAGAGCTCACTCTTTGCAACCTCAAAGGATCACAGAGGGATTATTCTTTAGCTGTCACAGAGATCAGAGACAGATTCTTGTGGTGTTCGCAATAGCTTGTTTTCTCGCCTCTTTTGGGGTAAAAAAGCTTTTGAAGTTGCGCAATCTTTGTTTTGTAGCTTGGTTTAAAGAAAATGACCTGTTGCCCCAAGAGCCTCTTGATGTTGAACATTATTAACTCTTGTGAAGGTCATGCATGTACAGCTATATTTAGAATCTACAGTTAGCCTCGTTGTTTTCCTTATTAACCGGACCATCAATACTGACACGCTGAGCTGCTAACGAGCTTTTGTTTGTAGTCTGAGGTTAACAACAAAGAAATAAGTCAGACATTTTTGGACATGCTTTGAGCTTTATTACCCAGAATCTGTGTGCCAGACAGTGTTTTTGGAAAAGCTGCATGTTTGACAACTCCTGATGTTTCTTATTCCCACTTCTACAGGCCAAACCGCTGCCACAGAACAGGATCATCGTGTCGGCTCGATTCCTGAAACCCATCAAGGAGCCGTGCACGGTTTTGTAAGTTCACACTCACATCTTACACTGCTTCATCACAATCCCAAACTTCTGATGATGGCCTGGAGAGTTAATGAATGGGCTTACCCCTTAATTTAAGCATTTAACTTTACACAAGTGGATGATAACGTCATGGATTCCTGATACCTTTGACTCTGTTGAATTTAGAAGAATATGTGTGCTTGACAGGGAAACCAGTGTGTTTTAATGTTCTACCAGAGTGTTAACTCTTTTTATTTTTTCTTTACTTAGTGTGGTGGCAAATGGTGATGTCCTGAACCCTGCAATGAGGCTGCTGGTCCACCAGAGGATGCTGGGCCAGTTTGACAAAATACTAGAAATGATCACAGAGAAGATGGGCTTGAGAGTCCTGGGGGGAGTGCGAAGGTACCAGATGTTCTGTAGCTTCAGACTTTCAAACTACCTTGAGGCCTAAGTTTGCATAAATAAAAAAGAAACAGATTTTCTTCTATTAACAGTTGTAAATATAATTGCACTTACAAGATGCAAATACATTTTTTGGGGCGGCAAAGAAAGCTTTTGTGTCGAATGCTTTGATTAGCTCAACCAGTGATCACATGGTGTCTAGGAGGACCACCAACAACTTTGTTGTAAACTGATGCCAACACACAATGACTCGCCTTTTGACTCTCTTTGTGTGCTCTAGTCTCTACACCTACGAAGGCCACCAGGTGAGCAATGGGAATCAGCTGGAGAGCGGTCAGCTGTATGTGGCTGTGGGAAGAGAAAGATTTAAGAAGCTTCCCTACAGTGACTTACTCTTCACCAAACCCAGAGGAACAAGGAGGGTCAAAGGGTAAGTCATGGACTTAAACTAATATTACTAAAATAACATGTTGATGGAAACTTTATCAGTCACACATGTGATTTCCATTATATTATTTTCCTTCACAAAAATCTGACAAAAAAGTTTGAACTTACTTTGCAGCACACCTCTGAATGTATTGAGATTGTTGTACGTTTTTATCCTCCACATAATGAAAAATAATGTCATTACTGCCTCCCTTAATCCTTGATAACTTTGGAATTCTCTTTTTTTTTTCATATCTTGCTTATCTGCACTCATCACACC